GGATTAGGAATATCTTGCTATATTATCTCCTGATTGTTCTAAACTGAAGTTAAAATATGGCTTTAATTGGTGTGTATATATATTCTTTATATAGAAATTAGATACTGTGCTCCTGTCAGCTAATTTCTAAGTTACTATCTGCAAAAATTTAGAGTTTTCCAATGCCTAAGTAGCCCCTGGAATCACAGTTAAAGTTGCCCCTGTACCAAAATCTGAAATGGCACCGAGAGCAAACAATCCTTTTCCCCCCACGAGGCAGCCATGCAATGTGTAGAAGAAAACTGAAGCACACAGACTTTGTAAAAATATCATAAAAAGTTCCCACTTCACCACATCTGGGTTTTATCATCTTCAGTGTGCCAAAGACACAGTTTAATGGCGCCCAGCAAAGCCATAAATTGCCCGTAAGCAGCATCTGGCTGAGTAGGACACAAACAAGGCCTGGAGCTAGATAAAGCAAAAGTGGCTGGGAGAAGCAACCATATTTGTGGCAAATATGAATACCTGTCCCTTTGAATGTGCAGGTACCAGATTTGTTACATGTAGCCAGGATGTTGCAATTCTCTCTTTTCAAAATCTATCCAGAAACAGAAGCAGATGAAAAAGCTGGCACTTTACCAGATGTCCCTCAATGGCTGCCTGTTAGTTTGAGGGAAATCTAAGGGTACGTCTACCCTGCAATTAAAAACACTAAGCAGGCTAGTGCCAACTGACTCAGGGTCAGGGGTGGTTTAACTGCAGTGTAGACATTTGGGCTCAAGCTGGAGCCCATGCTCTAGGACACTGTAAGGTGGGAGGGTCCCATAGCTCAGGCTGCAGCCTGAACCTGAACATCTACACTGCAGTAAAACAACCACTTAAGCCTGAGTCAGTTAGCACAGGCCAACCCCATGTGTCTAACTGGAGTGCAGACATATCCTAAGAAGTTGAGGGCTCTGTAGGATAGAACTCAAGGGCCTGAAACTTATGTACTTGACCATATACTTCTTGGCCCATAGCTTTCTCTTGCACTTGTGAGTAGACGTACTTGTGCTCCCGCCATCTTGCTATAAAAGAGTGTGCTGCTAGGGCAGTCAATATAAAGGCTATTTAGCTTTGGAACTCACTCCTCTTCATAGGCTAAAAGAGCCCAAATCTGTTGAAGTTTAGAACACAGTGAGAAGCATATCTATTCTCCCTGGCTTTTAGCGAGGGCACAGCATTAGGAGGATAAGGACTTTCCATTGCCTATTTTCTGCCAGGCTTTTGGTGGTCAGAGGTTTGGTGAAAATGACGGAGTTGTAAAAATTGTGTTTTTAAGGATAGTTGAGAGGACATAAAGCCCTGGATAGGACTCAAAAAAAAAAAAAAGTATAACAGAAACAATGACAATGTCTCAAATGTCCTTAGTCTGATTCCATATCTTATATAGAAAAAAGTGGTAGAAAGAACATTCACAAACAAGGGACAAAAAAAGCTTTTAGACTCAAAACGAAGTACACCTCTACCCCGATCTAACGCGACCCGATCTAACGCAAATTCGGATATAACGCAGTAAAGCAGTGCTGGGGGGAGGGGGAGGCTGTGCACTCCGGTGGATCAAAGCAAGTTCGATATAACGCGGTTTCACCTATAACTCAGTAAGATTTTTTG